TTCTACAGTGTAGCTGTAGCTAAACTAACACTTCCTTCAATCCTGGTGTTCACATTTTTATTCAATTTATTACAGTTCCTGGCATTTATTCAATGCCACAAAATTATTAGTTCTACCCATTCTGCTGATGCATGATTCGAATTTGGTTTTGAATCAAGTGCAAGTGTTAGATAGAGGATGTTTATACAGCATTCTCCTGTGTATAGTAAATACATAAACCTTTGCCTTAAGTATGCACTATATTAAGTTTGCATTCAGATTAAGTATGCAAAATAAATGACTAGAAGTACAGCTCGAGTTGATAATGCTTTATTTTGTTCTAAACATGTTAAACAATATTAGTTGTCTATGATTATTTTAAAAAATTATTTTGAAAAAAACATTATGACTTTTTCAACAATATGTCACATATATATGTATTTATTCGAATAATTACCTATATAATTAAGTAGAAGTAGGTAAATAAAGATTAATTTCATTACATCTTCTAGAGAAGCTTTTTAGAAGCTTTATAGATGTAATTTTAACACTTGTTTGTAGTTGATTGGTAGCTTAGAAATTTGGTCAATAAGTTAACCACTATAGCTTATAGAACAAGTTTACTATGTGGCGCATGTATAAAACACTTGCCTTGCAAGTTAAGATACGTGTCTTCCAAAGTCAACATGTGTTAGAGGTCTTATAGAACATCGCCATGTAGCTCTTAGTTGATAGTATATATGGAGGTAAGAATGAAGCCTTCTTCATTCTAGTCAATGCCTTTTTAATCCTTAATCTTGTTTCAAGAGTTTCTAATTATTTTGAGTGATACAAGAGTGTATTGAGTTTTCTTTCTTTGAAATTCATGTCCTTGATATAATCGTGTCAAGCATTGTCAAAAAAATATTTAAACTTGAGCCAAAATTATTTACTAAAAACTTCTCCAACAACTTCAATTAATTCATCAAATTCCACTTGTGGTTGCTTCTTAATAATACATTTTAATGATTTATATTGCTAAACTATGTTGTTTCTTGATGCATTGGTCTCATTTTATTCAATTGTCTCATTCTCTTGGCTTATTGCTTTTGGAGCAATTGAAACTAAGAATTATAAACATCAAGGCACAATAAAAACAAAGAAAAAAGTCCAAATCACAAAATCACAAATGTCAAATATTTCTTTTAACTTATTTGCATTTTAAGACAGTTTTTAGAATGTTTTAGAATCAAGTTCATATTAAATACATATAAGAGTTAAGTATGCACTTTCTAGCTAAGTTCAATCTATGTGCTTAAGACAAAGACTATTTTATATATATATATATATATATATATAAGAAAATTTTAAAGTCATCCAAATATTTATTAAATCAACCCACCCATCATCATTGGTTAAGAATCCAACCTTTTCTTATTTTTTATTTTATTTTATTTTATTTTTTGATTTTTGACCAATGCGGATTTAGTAGTGGACTTTTCTTAATGATGGTTAGGATGGGTGAATAAATTTAGTAAATACTTGGGTCACTTTAACAATTCTCTCTCTCTATATATATAATAATTTTCTCTCTCTCTCTCTCTCTCTCTCGCTATATATATATATATATATATATTAATAAAAGGATGACTCCTTGCTGTGCTTTGTGAGACCATGTTTGTTTCAAAGATGCTTAATGAAGCACCAATCCATAAATTTTAGAAACGCATAATACCTTTGTAGTTTTGAGCAATCTCCTTATTTTGAAATTCCCAATACTTATTAGTTATGATAAATTATACAACAAGGCTTGCTTCATTTCCCCTTCTCTTTATTTTTTAATATTTTTGATATTGTATGATATTCTTTTCTTCAGTTGCCATTATGTACAAAGTTCAACTTTCTATTGGTTTCTAAAGTACTTGGCACTGAAATAGAATGGTAACAAATCCATCAAAAGAATTGTCAAATGAAGTCTTAAAAAGACAATGGCATATCCACAAACTGCATTGTTTTAATAGAAAAAATTGAACAATTTTAACTCCCTTTTGAATTTTACCTCCTCTCAAGTTACAAAACAAGATGTTTATTTTATTTTATTTTATTTACAATCAAATTTGTACACCGTAAGAAAACAATGAGAAAATGAAACATTTTTTTTTTTTTTTTTTTTTTTTTTTTACAATCAAGTTTGTATGCCTCAAGAAAACAATGAGAATAATAAATGAATAAATGGAATAATAAAAATTGTTGGAGGAGATGGGAATATGTGGGAGTTGGGGCCAAGGAGATAAGGAAAGAGTCGTTGAAGTAATCAACATCCACACAACTTATGGAATTGGATGCAATTTAAAGCATTGAGAATCCATCGGTCCTATTGTCAAATTCTAAAGTCTTGGTAGAACATTGCATATGATTATATGAGAAAATAAATAAAATTTGATGTTTATGCTTGATATTACACACATTTCCCTTCTTTCAAATGATATAAGCTATACTATTTGTTTTCTTTCCTTTCTTTTTTCTTCTTTTCTTTCAAATGATATAAGCTTTACTATTTGTTTTCTTTCCTTTCTTTTTCTTCTTTCCTTAGAAAAATCTTCATAGTAATTTTTTATAATTCCAAAAAAACTATAAAATTATAAAAATATATGATATGTGTGTTTATATATATATATATATATATATGGCATCTTATATGGCACATTAGGAAGCATTCATTTTTCAACATGGGATGCTACCAATGCCATACTTGGTAGCATTATGCACACCATGCAGCATTTAAGAAGCAGACTTAGTATTAAATTATCACAAACTTTTATCAATCCCAGATATTATCACATGTATTAAATTGGCTAATTCTTCCTACCTTTTAATTTTTGCAACACAATACTTTTAATTTGTACAATACTTGCATTATATTGCATAGATTTTATTTTAATTGATAAATATAAGCCAGGTACTTGAATCCTGGGGTTCAATTTCCGTTTTTTTTAAAATAAAAAAGGATGAAATCTTATATTTATTTATTTATATTTTTCATTTGTACAGGACTAATAAATATCTGATAACACAACAAGCAACTTAATCTTTAGATGCTCATGTAAAAAAAAAAAAAAAAAAAAAAAAAACGAAATTCGAATTGGTAATAGGAATCCATTCATGAGAATTTATTTCTTACCAAATAAATCCTTTCAAATTGCTTTCTTCCTCCTTTCTGCTTCTTCTTCTGCTTGAATTTTTCCATGTGAGATTTTTTTTTGTTTGTCTTCTTGTACACAAAGCCTCATGAAATACATCTTCCAAAGTGCAACTTTTAAGTGATCCTTTGAATCTATCCTCATCATTTATATTGTAGAATATCTAAATTCAGGCTGCCATTGAATGTACAAACTCTAAACATTGTTTTGATTTTGGAGGCTTCTAGAAACACCATCTGTTTTTGTGGTTGGTATTGAACGAAAATACAAAGTTTGATTTGCTTTTTCTCATCTAATATTTATCAACTTATAAATGTTTGAAACAATGTTCTTTCATAGCTGGCAAGAAAAATATGCATTGCTTGCCTACCTATATGTAGATTTAAGTAAAGATAAGTGGGTTTTCTTAAGAAGCTAGTTTCACCATAATTTAGCATTCTAAAAAATGAATTACATGTTCTTAATTCTTCAAAAGTGGACATTAGTTCTCTTATACTTTTGAGTTTATACACTTGCTTCATTCAAATGTTATAAGCAAGGGTCTTGTGTAGATACCAAGATTTTTATGTATCATAAAACAATGATTTTATTTTTGTTGCAGAAAACTAGTAATATAGAAAGAAAAAACGAAAGAAAAAAGAACATAATTTTCAATGTATATGATATTATTGCATTGATTATCAAACACATAATTTGATTGTCTGATTTTTATCCGTTTATCAGTTTATTAAATGAATTTTATAAAAAAAACTTGTTGATTAGAAAAAACTTCTTGTTCTCTACATTTTTGTTCCTTGCAAGATTACAGAAAACCATCAAAATATGTGTTAACATAAATATAAGTTCTTGTAAAAATGTAATTAACATATGAAATCAAGGTTTTATTGCAACAGTCATCACAAAGAAATCATTAAATTATAAATAATTACAGCATTTACTACAAATATCATTATTTTTTCCAAAATATTCATCATGTATGTTACAAGTGTTTTGGAAAAAATACTCCAATTTCTACATGAAACTATTATTTTTTTATGTATTGTTAACTGATTTCTAACATCACTTGACATGTCAAATATCCCACGCAGTATTAAATTGGTAAAAGCTTGTTGTTAAAAAATATAATAAATAAGATACTGTAAATAATATAAAGTATATTATTAATTAATTTACTATGTGTAACTTTGAGAAATTGAAGAACATTCCAGTATCATAAAAATTATTATATCGAAAATTTCACTAATATTTCTTATAAATATATGGATGAATTGAATGCTTCCGATACTAGTTCTAATCATTTAGTTTTACTGCTGTACATACTTTACATCAAGCATATTATCACTCTTTACTTTTGTTTAACATTCTCTAAAATTATTTAAGTTTAAAACATAATAAAGTTATGATACTATTACTTCAAAACAATAACTCAATGTTTTGTGTAATGTAGCATCAACCCATAAAAGCACAAGTCAAACACATAAAACACTCTACCTATTTTGGCAACAAATGAAAGATGTTGAAAGTTATTCCTTGATGATAATACTTATATAGCATAATACACAAGTGGCCCTATGTACGAAGAATATCCACAAAAAAAGTAAAACCACCCATTTGATTAGTCAAACAAAGTATTCTACAACGCTTCATTAATTCATAATCAACAAGAAGAAATTCCACTTCAAATAATGGATTATTATTTTTATTTGTCATTTTATGGCGAATTAAGGGGGGGGTACACGGATGAATGTAGTACGACGAATGGGGTCGAAGTGGACGGATGAATACATCGATGAATGAATGAATGGATGAATGAACCGTGTCGGAAGGACAAGACCTTGCTTCCCGATTGCCTTGCGAGGATTGTGGCATCGCTCTGTTGTGTCGATCACGATTCTCGGCGACATCGCCCTTCTTCCGTTGCGCAATCGAGCGGGAGCGTGCTTCCACAATGACCTCTGCATCCTACTCTACCTCTCGCGATTTACGGCACTCGAATACGTGCTGTCTTCGCCAAGTTTGAGCCATGTGCGTGTGGAAGTCCTGCCGCTGTGTGGTTCCGTGATGTAGCTTGAGGCCCAATTTTGACGCTCGATTGGAAGCGTTTTTGTTGGATTTTGGGATTGGATCACGCTATTCTCGGTTTCTCGGTCCTGCGCTGTGGTCTCCAATTGTGCGGTTAGGGTTTTTGTGTTTAGTGGATCCGGATTGAAGCTTGTAGAATATCCGTGGATTCTTCTTCTTCAGGGGCTTTTGTTAGGATGTTTCTGGCGCAATTGATGCTTGTTTACTTACTAGGCGTATGGTGTAGTCGCAGATCTTTGGACGTCTGGTGTTTGTGTTGTATGCCTGGCTGTTAAAAGCTCGTTCCTGTTACTTGTATGAAATGCGTGGAATGTTTGAGCAGTGGATCGGTAGTGATTTGGAGCGTTCGGAGCATCCTGAGGTTCGAACGGTTTTATGATACGGTAGTGAAGGTTTTTTTCCAAATCTGATGTGGCCGAACTTTTGAATGCACCAAAGCTCGATATTTTTATCCTCTCTTTCTCTTTCTTGGTTATTTCTTTACGTTTTTATGCTTTTCGTGTTTTTGGTTATTCAGTGTAAAAGGTCGTAGACAAGCAGAAACATATCTGGAGAGTGGTAGTGTAAAGTAGCACTCGTGTGACTCATGTGTTAAGATGAACTTGAGCTTCAGGTAGCAGCATGCAAGCCCTACCGCTCTCATCATTTATTTATTTTTAATAATTTTGAAATTAAGTATTTTAACGCCGTAATCATGTGGGTAGTATGATTCGTCTTGGATGATTTTATGGTTGGGGTGTATTTGTCGAGAAGCCTGTAAATTATTTTTCTGGTGATAATTGTGTTCGTTTCTTATGTAACAGCTTGAGTCGAACGAACGGATGTTCCTCTTTGCTTTGGCCCGCGTTGAATTTGGGCGTGGTCAGGCCGACGTTCAAAGTCATTTTCCTACGCAAAACCCTAATTTTCTGATTCTTGTGGCAGCATATATCTTCATCTGCTGTCATGTGAGGTGTTCTACCTTTCACACGACATGTAGCTGTTACTTGGATGGACTGATAGCACTTGGGTTTAAGTTTCCGAAAATCGTCAGCATCCATTACGTGGAATAGAGGACCTGAATTTCCTTCAGCAATGTCTTGGTTTTCTAGTACTTTTTCTCTCTCTGCCGCTCCTTCGCCGGAGCAGGATGAAGATGACAACGATGGGAGCCCTAGGCAACCACTTTCTACTGGGAAAGGAGTCACGGACGACTTTTCTGAATTGACCAGGAATTTAACTCGATCGCTATGGGGCGTAGCATCGTCTTGGGTTCCTCTTGCCAACGATGACGAGGAATCTCCGAAGCAAACGAACACAACTCAAACAGAGTCGCGTAGCGCGTCAATTGCTGGGAGTTCAAAAGATCCTCAAGTTGCTGTAGATGTGGCTGAAACCGAAGAAAAGAAAGGCACAGGTTCTCCATCGTTGGTTGAGACAGCCGAAGTGGAACCTCCTAGTCTCGGAGAAAAACATAGTACATTGGATGGGCTGAGCAACTCTTCAGCAAGTGGGTCCCCCAGAGCAGCTGGGGATAAGCTTACAGGTCTACGGAGCGACTTGGCTGAATTGAAGGGAACCATGGCCACTGGTTTTTCGCGAATTCAAACAGTAATTCGGGCTGTTACGCAGGATGAAGATGAAGATGAAGACGAGGATGATGACTCGTCTCAAGTTTCGCTTGCAGGTGGCAGTGCATCTGGCCTACCCAAAAACGAAGGAGATGAAACTTCAAGAAATATTGGGATCAGTTCTTTGCTGAAACCATTGTTAGTGAGCATGTCGTCATTTCGTGAAAGGCTTCCCCGGAACGAGAGAGGAGAAGAGTCACCCTTGGTCGCAGGAGAACATAGTCAAGAAGAAATTGACTACGAAACCGAGCACAAGGTTCGCACATTTGAGATGAATATTCATGCCCTTGCTTGGAGGGACCTTTGCGTTGCTGCGTTCGATATGAAAATCCCATGCCATTCACGTTAAGCGTTTCTAGATCCATACAACACTGAAGCTGTATTTCAGTCAGAAATTGTTGAGCATCAACCAAGGGGTTTCCTTTGATCTGAGTGTGGTTATGTTGCACTCTTCAGCTTCTGTAGTTGATGCCTCATACATGAATTTGGAGAATTAACTGCTAAACATCCGGGCCTGCGTGTGAATTATGCGAAATTCTTATCCGCTTACCGTGTGAATGATTTACATTAGTTAAGTTTCGTAACATACAGGTCACTGGACGAAGTTCTCTTGGGGGCGGTATCGGTGGTTTGTCGAGACTTGCCAACAGTTTCATTCCCTTTGCTCGGGACATTGTTGGAGAAATTTCAGGAAGAGACTACTACGCCGTCGCATTGACGGATGAGGTTGTTGCCTTCGCCGACAACATTGCAGTGCATCCGGAGACATGGCTGGATTTCCCTTTGCCGGAGGAAGAAGACGACGATGGTAAGTCATGTGGTTGAAACTGTGAATGGGGTTGTTCACCGCGATATTTACAAAAATCAGGACTTGCTGTGAAGAGAACATACAAGGAGTCTGCGTAATTGAAACATGAGTATGCGGAGGACGTTCATTTTCCGTAGGAATCATTAGTTGGAGTTCTGTTCTGCAGAATGTTCCTGGATAGGTAATTTATGGTTGAGATAGAATTACTGAAGTTGGGTATGGAATTCTGCTTGAGATTATAGATCGCGGGGTTTAATGTCGTTGAGGTGACAAAAAACGTCGTATCAATGTGTCATTCCCATTCATTTAGAGTCATAACTCTAAATTGTCGGGATTTTCCATGGACTGTTGCTGAATGTGCATATTTTAGTCAGCACTTGTGTTCCATATTGCGCAGTATAGAGTATAACAGTCACGCCCTTCCTTTTGTTCTTAATATCATTGATGTTGGAAATGTCATTTACATCAAGTTACATGCTGTAGATTTTGAAATGACGGAAGTACAACAAGAGCACGCCAAAGCAGTGGAACAATTGTCATCTAAGCTTGCTGCAGTGCACCGTGAGCTTTGTCCCGCATTTCTTAGCGAGGGTCGCTTTTGGAAGATCTATCTTGTGCTCCTACATTCGCGCATAAGTAAAGAGGATGCCGAGCTTTTATCTACACCTCAGGTATGGTGCTTTCGATCGTCGAGGTGGAATTTGTTCTTATTTTGCAAAGGTGCGGAGTATTGAAGTTTGTTCTGAAGACCTACAAGGCGTATTTATAATGTATTTGAATTTTTAATATTGGGGTTTCAACAGGTTTTAAAAACTAGGGAGCTACTTTTACAACGCAAAGAGGAGCCCAGAATGCCTGATACAGCCGCCACGCAGTCAGAACGCAAAGAGCTTGGGCTTACTGAGTCGAATCTGCTGGATACACCTCTCGAATCGTCTGCAGAATCTGCACCCTCGCCCATTCTGGAGGAGGCGTCACAGGACGCCACTTCTCTTCCTAAGTCATCTCAGGAGGCTGTCTCGGCTGTGGCAGATGTCAAGGAGGAAGAACAGAACTCAAGCTCTGTGGACTTTTCAGCTTTGAGGCTGGACGACGAGGATGGAGATGTAGATGCATTTCTTGATGACGAAGACAATGACGTACAAGAAACTGCTCAAAGAGGTCTGATAATACGCCTGTGATTGCATTGGATATATTATTTGACATAACTTTTATTTTATTTTATTTTAAAGTGTATCATCATGCCTTTTTGCTTCTTCACGCAGGAGCGGCGGTCTCCATAGACGAAGATATATCCTTCAGTGATCTGGAAGAAGAAGAAGAAGAAGAAGAAGACGTTGGAAGCAGCAAAGGAGAGGTACTCTAAAGAATGACCGAGCCCTTAGGTTATGCATGTTCTTTAAGCGCATCCTATTCAGACTCTGATAATGATTATTACAATGAGAGGCTCAAGCTTCAGTACAAATAAGACAGTTGTTAAATATGGAGGGGACTTTCTCTGGGCAGGATGGTTCCAATGCTGTTAAAAATGACAATGGTCAGACAAGTGATTCTTCACAAGGAGATGCGTCTTCTGGGAGCAAGCACGAAGGCGACTGGCTCACAGTGAATAAAGAAGACGTTGCTAGTTCGACTCCCTTTTCTCCCTGATAGTGTTTGGAATCTGAGCTCGTGGATGCAATTCAGCTGAATAATGACAAGTTGTGTCAAGTTGGCTTATTTGCCTTCATCTTTCATCGACGTGGTCAGCGGGATGACGTATGCAACTATCGTAGGAAGGTGGATTGGGTTTTGGGGAGAATCTCAACCTTCTCTTTTGCACCAATCATACTGGGTGGTAATCAAAACCGACTTCCGTGATAATGAGCGAAACATACAACGCCGCTCATCATAGACCCTCACCAGGTGCTTGTCTTGTAAGAATAGGTTCAAATGTATAGTGTCGTGTTATTTAGGTCCGAGAGACCGGCTCCAACAAGCTTTGACTGCACAGGCATGTCAGAAGCAGCAACTGTGTACTTGAAAAACAGTTTTGTCATGTATATACATGTTTTCTCGTCATTGTTACATTACTGCATTGCATCTTAATTTTGAGAAATCATAGTGCTATTGATTGTAATGTGATTACTTAGAAGTGATTGTGTGGTTTGGTTGGAAAAATCTATTGATTGTATCCATGTTTTTTTCCCCATCATGGCCATCTGTTAAGATGTTTGCAGATACCTGTCTCCTGCCTGATCCGAGCCTGATGAGGATGTAGTCTCACATTTGCAACTGCAGCACTTGTTTAATGAAACAGTGATTAGCACCCTGAATGTGTGAATCTTAACAGTACACATTGATCCCAGTAGGTATATATATTTGAAGAGATATCCAACTCTTTAGCTGCTTTCCTTTGTCGCTCTCATAAATGCCTAGAAACCGAGACAGACACCTCACAGAAGTAAACCCAACTTCTAGGAACCCCTTACGGATCACTCAACCACAAAACAGTAAAGCAGACTGTTCCAGTACCGAAATTCGTTACAGTTGGGGCTGTCGATATTTATCACAAGTGTGAGAATGACAGCCCAGTTTTGGCGAGCACTTTTAACGGCCAATGTACCTCAGCAAAGAGTGAGTGACGTTGACAGCTTTTGTAAGCGGATCATACCCCGTAACCAGGTCACCCACAACCATTAGAGACTAAGAAATTCCTGAGTAGTAAATGAGCACTATGTACCAGCTCATCAAACACAACTTTGAGAGTTTGTGATTGTAAACGACCAGTTTTGCTGCCATAAGTCCTGGAAACAGTTTCCTAGAACCTCGTTTCCGAACTCCTGGAACTTCACTGCGAATCCAACACGTTCTTATTTGTATAACTGTGTGTGTTTATTTTTGTCATAACTTTCCCCCTCAGGTTGGACCCCACTAAGTACTTCTAAACTGGGACCATAGATTTCTATGGACACAGCATGCAGAGACATCTCAGTCAGCCATGAATTCATTGTGAGGATTCTTGCACTGTCTCAACATGTGAACGTCTTTTGCCGCACTCCAGGACTGGGTTTTGCCCTGTTTGATGTGGGCTCATTGGCAGAGCTGGTATCTCACACCATGTGTGTATATATTCAGACTCTGGAATCGTCCTATACACAGAATGTAATACAACCAATCGTTGCCTGCTCATGTGTTTCCTCTGGGTACCGTGTCTTGTCAACATTGTTCTGAGCTTACTGCTCGTGGATGTTTTAGATTAGGTGCTTTCTGTGAAAGTTTTTTAAAAGTGAGATGGAAGGTTGTGTGTGGTAGCTTTTTCAACAAACATTGCATGTTTGATCTGGTGAATGTTCTTTGAATATCATTATTGGACATCATAATAATAATAATAATAATAATAAAGTAAAATAATCTCTGAGTTGTCCCCAAAAAACCACATTGGATCTGATTATTTGTACTATAGATATATATATATATATATATATATGAATGAACACAGAATAAGTAAACCTGTGTATTTTTCTCTGCCTTAAAAACTGTAATTATCAATTTTGATTAAAAAATAAATTTTGTCAAATATCACTGTGTATATGAGTAGTTTATTCCATATTTATTGAATTTTAAACATTCAAACTTTCTTTTGGAATGTTTATTTTGAAATTACTTTCTTTTGGATTTATTCCATATTTATTGAATTTAATTAAACTTTTAAAATTGTTAATTATTTATGAAAAACTATTTTATTTGTGGATCAATATTTATTATATAAGACTTTTGGGCTTTATTTATTTTTAAATATATATATATATATAATTAATTAATTAATTGATACTTCAAAATATAATTTTTACATTTTTAAACTAAAAATTATACATTATCTTTGAACTTTTTGCAACAATTAAATGCTCATGTCATAACATAAAAAACAATTAAAGCAACACCTTCATATTATTAATATAATACCTTGAAGTAGGCCTATGACTATTGTGAACATTGCAACCATAGTACACATCAATGTTGATGCTTTCTTGTTCACTATATAAAGATAATAATGTTCAACTTGTATAATTATATACTCATTTACTTTTTATTCTTGTACAATATATACATTTCTTTCTACATCTTTTTTTTCATGTGTATGATCTATGCAAGTTGATACATGCCACATTTCTCATATTACTTATGCTAACTTAGACATATTTTAATGTTATGTCCATCTTAGCTATATGCTCTATAATAGCTTTATTGCATCTCCACAACTTCAAGCAAAGAAAAATATCTTTTTGTAGAGGATGTCTCCAAGAATATTAGCAATTATGCTTATTTGGAGTATAATATTATTAAGATGTCAATTCTACTAAAGTTGAATATATCTTTGCTTAATAATTAAGTTCTAATATAAAAAATATATCACCAAGTTGATTGAGAAGAGCATCAATTGTTGGAATGTTTTGCTAGATGATGTAGCCAAAAGATATTTGCAATGGCAAAAGAGGGTCAAGATGCAATTGTGGATAGAAATTGATTAGTTGTAGAATACCATTAACTACAAAATATTCATGCAATACATATTTCTATAAAAAAATAATAATAAAATATCTTGTACATTTGTTGATGGTGGCATCTTCTTCAATTAGTGCTTCTACCAATGTATGCACTTTTAATAGTGCAAAATAAAAATAAATGTGAACAAATAGATCATAAAAATATCTACTCAAATTAATCCAAGTCCAAACTTTACCATCTCTAATTTTTGCTTGAAGTTTTTTTTTTTTTTTTTTTTTTAATGCTTCACATATATTGTAATTTTGTACAAAATATCATAAAAGTCAATTGTGGAGACTTAAAGCCACGTCTTTAGAATAGCATGGCTCCCCTCTTCTTCAACATGTTGATATTTCCAAAATACAAGCACCAAAAAGACCATGTAATAGTGAATCTCTCATTCTAAAGTAACTAATTTGTTAATATGTAATTAATGATATTGAGATGATTGGTATAGTTCCACCAAAGTTTTTGTCAATTGAATTCAAAAAGATTATTTGTACAAATATTTACAACTTAATTCCAATATTGCATGAAGGTTGTCAATTATTTGCAAAAAGTACTTGCTTACAATTTGAAAAAATATTCTTTTAGATATACAAGACATAAATTAGATTGATCAATATTGAAAAAAAAAAAAAAAAAAAAAAAAAAAAATAGTATTGCAGATATAATTGTTAAGTCCTTTTTAGTCACAAATGTAATTAGTGCTACTCAATTATTAAAGAGTAAATTATCTTCTCTATGATAAAGATACACATATAGTTACCTAGATAATATAAATAGGTAGAAGTAGATAAAAGTAGGTTAATTTGACAATATCTTATTGAAAAGTTTCTTAGAAGCTTCATAGAGATGGTTTCACTTTTTTACATATCTAAAGATAATTAGTACGTCAAACATGTGGCCAATAAGTTAGTCACATGTCACACGTATTCGTAGCTTGTGGTACAAACTAACAATATGGCACTTTTATAGGAAATTTTCCTTGCAAGTTAAGATATAGGTCTTGCAAATTGGACATATATTGGAGGTCAATAGAATGTTGCTATGTAGCTTTTAGGTAGATAGTATATATAGAGGCAAGAGTAAAGCCTTCTTCACTCTTGTCAACTCCTCTCTTACTTCCAATATAATTTCAAGAGTCTCTAGTTTTCTAATCTTTGGCAATAGCCATTCCAGTTTCTTATTAAATATATTTACTTTCTTACTTCTAATTTTTCATGTCTCTTTGATTCATTTCTCATTTTTTTATATACTTCCTTTGAAATCTTATCTATGAAAAAATGACAAGAGAATTAATTTATTATTAATTTAGTGCTAATTAATTTATAAATACTATAAATAAAATAAATTAATTATTTTTATCTTAAATATTTAAAATATATCATATATAAAATTATTTTATAAATTTAAATTTTATTTCATATCAAATTTTATTTAAATTTTATTTCTAATTATTTAAATTTAACCAAAAAATTATTTTAGTATTATATTAATTGATATTATAGATATATTTGAGTTATAATTAGATACTTATAATATATTTCTTGCTTATTTTTACTTGCCTACAAAAATTAGAAATAGTAAAGAAAACAAAGGCCAAAGAAGCCTTGGCTTAGTAAGGCAAATAATTAAAGAATAAAAAAAATGGCTCAAGATAGAGAAGAGGGATAAAAAAAAAAAACAAGACAAAATAAAAGACCACCTTGTGAATAGCCAAGGTCAAATTTAGGACATGTACAATGCTATGGAAGATAATAACCTTACACCATGTTAATCAGGTGTTGGTTGACATCCTAAAATTACATTATTAATATTGAATTGTAAGTTACCAAACCTGCTATCCACTTATTATCCATGGACAACAAGTTAGGCACTATATATATATATATATATATATATATATATACTAGAATAGATAAAAATCTATGTTAAAGGTATGGTTTTAGGAAAGTTTTGGCCAAACCAAGGGAAGAAGGGAAGGGTGTCCATGTAACAAAAAAAGACAGTGTTTATCTAGTGGTTTTCTTTACTTTTTCAGATTGCAAGACATTGCTATACCTCATGCTAGAGTGTAATAATGACTTTTTGATTGATTTGATATTTTATTGGCATATTTACATTTATATGTATTTATATTTTGTAGTTAAAAGAGTCTTATAAATATTGTAACTTTATAAAGATACAATTTTTTTCAATAAAATTATATAAATATAAATATATATATATATATATATTGAAAAAATACATGTACTAAGAAATAATCATAGTAGCTTGGAAGAGAAAAATTAAGTAAATTCAATTAAATAAAAAAAATACTATTAATCAAAGCTGAATTATTATCTTTTCTTTCATTATCATTATTGTTATTTTTATTCTTCTAGAGATCATTAAAATTGTAAGAAGAGAGTTACAATATGTTATATCTACTATAAATGCATATAATTAGTTAATTTTATGAACTTTTGAGTTGCTTCAATATTTGGATATATATATATATATATATATATATATAGTAAAATATAAAAAATAGGAAATATTTTATAATTTTCTTTTATTTTTACATATCAATTTAATTCACTTTGATAAAATTATCTTAAATTTTAAAGTAAATATTTTTATAATTTTTAGATAAAATTTATGTTTATTTTTATTTCTCATAAATAACCATATATATATATATATATATATATATATATATATTGGTAAGAAATTATTAAATTGACCCCACTAGCCATTAATTTGATCCACCTATCATAACTAGTACAATAATTCATATTCTCTATCATGATTTTTCCACCTCTTGTTTTTGTTTTCAATCCACATCCTTTGTTCCAATTACTCCCTCCTCCTTCTCCACCTCCCCATTCCCATATCTAGCTTGTGTCCCCCATGCATGTTCTCAAATCCCTCATCTCCTTGTGCACATATCCCTTCAAGTTAAGAATAATCTCCTCACATTCACAACTTTCATATAACAAATTGTGCATTTTATATGAATTTTCTCAACTTTGTGGTTGTTAAAACTTATCTAATATTATAGATATGATATCATATAAGATATTGCATAAATCATTTGCCCAATGATTTGACTATAAACAACTTTTCTTACAAAAATTTCAACTTGCATGGATGAAAGATGTGCTTTCCAATTGATACTAACTATGTAGATAAAGTTCTTGTGACGTGACCTCTCCATCATATACTTTCTTTTTGTGCAAAGACTGCTCCAATTTCCAAAGAAGCCTCTCTAGGGATGTTAATTATTTTTGCAATTCTCTGAGTATATTGCAGTTTCTAACAGCCTCTATTTGCCGTTTGGAGGGATTAGGATGGGATTTGGAAATGGGAGCAAGGAATGGAAGCTGAGAATGGGAGTATGGGACAAAAGAATTGGGAGATATGAGACATAGATTGGGAACAAAAATAGGAGACGGAGGGATGGAGACGAGGAGCTAGGAATGGAAACATGAAACAAGGGGCAAGGAATAGGAATATAGTGCTGGTTATGATGGATGGGTCAAATTAACAACTATAGGAGACAATTTAACATATATAAATATATATATATATATATATATATACATTCAAATATGCATTGTTTCAAAAATAAATCTTACCAAAGATTATTATTGCATAAGTGCATATAATACATGTGTATAAATTAGCAAGAGTAATTTTATAGTTTGATTTTCTTTTTAAAGAATATTATTTACTTTAATTTGGCACAATAAAATGTACAAAGTTAAGTTATACAATGCCACGATTCACCATTAATAATGAAGTAACTATTATACCAAATACCTAACAACTACAATGGCTTACATTTAATAAAATAATACTTGGAAAATTCCTCATTTTATCATTTATACATTTAGTTTTAAAAATAAGTGTTTTATTATTATGTACAGCTTTTTTCTTTCCTTGAGGAACAATTAAGTTTGCAAATGCAGACCAAAATGCAGACCAATTCACAAACAATTCATCTCAATTCTATTTTCAATCAATAACCTTACAAATAAATATTTTATATGGCAAGTATTGCCGCAATCAGCAACATGGTCACTTTCTCTACCATATCCAGCTGTAATATAGAAACAAAGCTTTAATGACACGACAGACTTTAGTTGAGTTAAATCCAAGTGATCCCACTTGTTCGCAAATAGTGGTCCAATTAGGATTTGAACTAGGTCTTGACCGTAGCTCACATCTTATAATGTATTTAATTTTAAAGTTTGATCATTTCTTTTCCTACTACGCTGTGACAGATGTGCTGAATATTGATTTCAGAGTGCTTGGTTTCTAAGCTATTATTAACTTCAACTATAACGTGGGAAGCAGGGAGAGAATCAGTGACGGAAGAAGCGGAGATTTCGTTGACGAACGCGGAGTTAACGGAAAAGGAGAGTTTCGTTGACGGGAGAGGGGGGGGGGCACTTCGCGGGTGGCGAAGGAAGGCTGGTTGAGGTCACACCCTCGGCCATAGCAGGGACATTCCGCCATAGCCACAGACGGCGGCAAGAGCACGGTCTTATAAAAGATCACTCGCTTTGGCTTCTCCGGTGTTGCGCATCCCAATTATGACACTGCCTTCGCATGCACGTCTCCCTGGATTTGTCGCTAACCTCTGACTCTGTTAGCAGGAGGAGGAGGAGTGAGTGAGAGAGACCGAGGCAGAGACGAGTTTGTTTAAGAGGGTTTAGGTGAATTTCTTGGTGTTGGCGTGAGTTTTAGTTGCAGGCCAGGTTTCGGATATTTTCCGGTTTCTTTGTAAGTTGGATTCGGAGTTAAAGGAAGGGACCATGCGGAGGTCGTCGACGAGAAGAACAGGGGTGCTCCTCCAGCCTGCCTCTGGCGTCGCTGCTGCTGGTCAGTAAGCCGAAACCTTAATGTTCTTGCGTGTTTGTTATGTTTTAACATATAGTTGTGAATTCTGGTGCTGTGTGCACAATTGACGTCGATCGTTGGTACAATACCTAATTATTGCTGACGTCGTGTGCTGGCGCGTGGTGAATCTGATCGAGCGGGATTTGAGTTCATTTGGAGCCTATTTGTGTGGCTTTTGCGGCCTGTTGTAGTTCTCGCTTGATTTAATTTTTATGTATCGTTTCTGGTTAATCTTGTGTGAGGCTGTCGATTCTGAATTTTGTGAAGTTCGGTTGGTGGAGTTTCGAGTTTTTTCTTTTCTCTGTACAACCGAAGATGTGCTTGCAAGTTGTTTATCAGATATGATGAGGAACGCGTAGAAAGGGATAAATAGCGGTTTTAGTGCTGTGTGCATTTTCAAGTTCAAGCCGGCATGCATCTACTGCGGGCTTCTTATTCTTAGTCAAAGTTGCGTTATCTTTCTTGCCTAAGCAGAATATGAAAGAACTACTATAGCTTTTTGACCAAGTATGCGTCGTGGCCCTACCATTACTGTGTAGAGTGCTTTTTAGGGCACAGCTGGGTCTGATCTACTTTGAACAACTTACTTGATCTAATCCTGCAGAATTTACAGATCCTTCGTTGTCGTTGTCGTCGTCATCGTCCCAAATAGGATCATTGCTGCCCTCGAGTTCAGATCATGTTGTGTGTTCCCTGGCTGTGTTTATTTATTTATTTATTTATTAATTTTTAGATAAAATTTGTAAGCGACAAATCAATTTCAAGTAGCTAGCATGCAAATACTCTCATGGTAAATTCGATTTTCATGCTTTGAGCTGTTGTCTATGACAACCTCGTTCTCATCTTCGAGCTGCTTGTTGGTTGACTGAGTTGGAGAGAAGGATGCTACTGATAGCTTGTTCTGAAGAGTTTCTAATCTGTCTTTTCAAAACTTAGGAGATTTCAATGTATCCTTCCTAATATTCTTGATCTCTCATCATACTAATGTCGTGTTAATTAAAGCTCGATGACAAGATTCTTTTCCATTGGTTTACTTTGAATTGGTTGTAATGTGAAAAGTGATGGTTACATTGATCCAGGAACAGGAAATAAAGCTGCTCTCAGAGAACAAGAAAAAATCGATACTTTTTTCAATCAGTATGCTGATAAGACCGAGGACAATTGTATAGGGTGAGTGGAAATGTTATCAGAGGGTGAAGCTTGTTCATACATTTGTCGTTCTTCCAACTTGTTGTTTTTTCTAGACCGGTATTGCTTGCTGGTAGCTCCTAGGCTAATTCCTGGGCTTGGAGCATTTCTTTAGTGGAAGAATTGTAGGTGTCGATGAAGGAACTTATGAATCTGGTAATGTTCTTGCGATTGCGCAGGCCCGATGGAATCGAAGCATTGTGTGAAGACCTTGGAGTTTCTCCAACAGATATAAAAGTTCTGCTTCTTGCATGGTATGCACTTAGGATGTCTACTTGGTTTTTTCACAATTGTGGGAAGTCGTTACCTGAAGCTGGAGATACATTACTTGAACTAATTTTCGTAGGAAATTAATGACGTTCTAAACTTATGTATGCTACGTTGAGGTCGCAGGAAACTGCAAGCTGCTCGGCAGGGATACTTTTCGTTGGTGAGTAACACAATGTGTCGCTATTTGTTGTATTGTTCAAGCATGACAATACGTTTAGCTATTATTGCCCGTGTCGGCTGCAAATATGATCCCGCTTTTTTGTAGTTTATTCTAGAAACCCAAAATTGGCTGCAGCCTAGTGATCGTAGCATCCGTGTGTGCCTTTCACAGGAGGAATGGAGGAAAGGTTTGAAGGCTATGCGAGTGGACAGTTTGGACAAGCTGAAGAAGGCTCTTCCTGCATTGCAACAAGAGGTGTGGGGAACTCTTAAGAACGAGCATATAATTTATGCATTTGTTTACACATGCCAAGTTCGTCCTAAGAATGTAGAAAATGTGAATATTTTATAGTTTTGGAAGAAGTTTTAGAGTATGATGTCCAGATTTTGGAGGTTCCTGCATAATAAGTTACTTGCTAACAATCCATATTACTTGATTCTAAGATTCCGTTAATGGTGTTGGATTTGCAGGTAGTCAGTCCGTATTCTTTTAAAGATTTCTACACATTCTCATTCAAGTACTGTCTGACGGGTATGTTCTTGTTTACGTGCGATTTTGTCTTTACATTCATGTATAGTAGTACTTGGGACTAGATCTTTTTTCTGATCCTCCAATGACTTCCTTTATTATTCTTCGTTTGAGTTGGACGAAATATCAGGTCAAGTTCCTTAAGCTTGGGATGCCTTGGGAAATGTTTACGTAATCAGCATCGTAAGCAGGTGCTTGATGTCCCGTATTATGTTTAACTTTCTCCACTGATTTCCCAACAGAGCCTCGTCAGAAAACATTGGATTTAGAAACAGCATGTCAAATGTTGGACTTGGTGCTGGGTTCTCGGCCACATGTAGGATCATTTCTTCATTTCTTGCAGGTAATAATTCCCATTTGGATCCAACTTAGTTTGTTTAAACTTTGTGAGGTCCTGTACCGCGACCTCAATTTACTGATGTCGACTTTGCTAAACCTTTCAGGAAGATTAAACCTTTCCTTATCGATCACACCAGCTTGCTGTAACTCATATTTGCAACTAACGCCTGCAGGAACAATCTGAGTACAAAGCCATGAACTTAGACCAGTGGTCTGCTTTCCTCCGATTTTGTGACGAGGTATGAACACGCAAAGTACAAAATTATCTTCATAAACAAAATAAGCCATGGTATGTTCAGTCATGCGTGACCTAGTGGTTGCTCATCTTTTCCCCTGGGACCCCATTTTGTGCAGATCAAGTCTGACCTCAGCAACTACGATGAAAGTCAAGCATGGCCGTTGCTTTTGGATAATTACGTGGAGTGGGCCAAGAAGCGCATGCAAACTCTGTCATAGTCTCTGCTTCGCAGTCTGCTCGAAGCTACTTGATCGTCTCACAACCAAGGACCAAGATGAGTTGTGTGCTTGAGGGCCTGGAGCAAATATGAAGACCTCTGCTCTTAGCTCGTAGCAACGTGATTGTTTCTCATGATGTCTCCAGCATTCAGGAATGACTGTTCTGTTGTACACGACTCCGTCTTTACTCGCGGAACAGTGCACACGAGCAGTGCAAGGTCTGGGTAGTATTCATTGCCACTTAGTGTATTGTGGTCACATGTTATTGAAGATGGCACGCTCAGTCTACCACGCATGGTGCCGGGAGTTTGACATCAGCTGGTTCAGTGGTAATGTAAATGTAGGTGGTTTAAGGGGAAATATTATGCATGTAATGATATCATTCTGGCAGTGGCTCCACTGGACATCATACCTAAGTATGTAACGTTTCAGAATAAGATGGTTTTAGGTGCGCATTTGCCAGTAATGCTTGGCAACTGCCTCGTGTTCGTGAATCCACAATTTATTTTCTCTGTCATCTATTTCAGTCCTTACTAATTGTTTCTTCGAAGAACCTGCAAGCAGAGCAGCACAGCTTGTTTTGAATCCACAAACAAGTTCGTATTCATGAGTCCAGCTGCACGAGAGCCCGCTTGCGTACCCTTCACTACGTTATGCTAGGGTAGGCGAACTGGTAAACCGTTCAAGTGTTCAAGTGGGTGCCCTCCACTGCTAGTTGATCCGACGTCGCCGGGGGAGAACGTGTCGCCTGATTTGTCAAGGTGAGCTCGTGCTTTCCAATGAACACTAGTCTCGTCACTGATGGACACATAAACATTCTGGCATTGCAAATCAAGAGTATAGATGTTTAAGTCCATGAGATATCCGGCACGGGAGCTGATTGGCTGCAGACTTCTTTACCCATTGCTTCCTTCGCACTCAAGGTTGGTGTTCTGAACATGCGTAGTTCATTTAGATACCCACCCAGGCTGTTGTTGTGATGAAGAAGACCAAGTCTTTATCAACCATCACACTCCTCGTTCGTTCTTGGAAAGTGCTCGGTTCCATATAAGGTCGCCTGTTCACACAGGCATCCTTAAGCCACCTCTCAAAGTAGAACTCTGGCACATCTTTTGTTAGAAGAAAGGTCATGTCACACCAAGGCAGTTGTGAGGGTGCTAGGTAGATGAGGCTTTGACAATCTTGAAAGGGAGAAGGAATTTCTCATGCACCGTTGTTTGATTTTCTTTCAATGTTGCATAGTTTCCTTGAATGATTTTGGACATAAGCCCTAAACCTTGAGCAACTCACCAATGGACAATCAATTATTGTACATATTTCATTACAAACTTCACTTACAGCATCATAATTTTAAACTTGTCATCTACAACTTTTGCACCATCTTATACTGTTACAGTATTGTATCTAGATGTAAATGTATTTTTTAGAACATAGATAATCTTTGAATTTGATAAGTTGAAGAATTTAGAAATGGGACTTGTGCATGGAATTTATACACACACAATTTGAGTTGGATGGTCTTTCTGAAAGGTTCTTCCACTTAGAAGTCCATTTTTACACTGCTCGCATCAAAGAGGCTTTGGTCTACCTTTGCCCATTGTTGACAACCAAGTCAAGATTGCTCCCATCATGTCACTTAGCAAACTTTCCATTAGGACTCATTGGATACAAAAAAGCATGGTTAGATGAACCAATGTTATATATATATATATATAGATATGGGAATGTTAAATAGACCCATGCTTTTACTAAATAGACCCACCCTTGAAGAATATGGTAATCATGATGAATGTGGTTGGTTTTTATTGATCGAAGATACAGTAGTGAGAAAATGAATCTAGAGGTCATTTTTTTTCATGATGGTTAGATAAATTTAGTAAAAACTTGGGTCTATTTAACATTCTCCTATATATATATATATATATATAGACCAAAATAACAAAGGAGGATTTTGATCCAATCTCAAATTTGGTGCACTTGTAAGAAAAATATATATAAAAAAGAAATTTGAAATTTTTACTAGCATTATTTCTTTTTAATGTTAGGATTTTGTAGATACATTAAAACAACTGCAGAAAAAGTGCACTGTATGCATTACAGTCATATAAATTCTATGTTTAGATTATGGCTTGTGTATATATATGTATATATAAAAATGATTAAAAATAAATATTAAAAAGTGGAATTTATACTGATATGGAATGGAAACCAAATTAAATTTTTATATTAGATAGCCATTAACAGTTGACTGGTTTGAATTATTTGCAGCCTATCATAGTGATGGCTGCCATGTTTTACTTGTTTGTTTGACAGAAATGATATTTTTATTTATTCATTCTATTATGGTTTTCTATGTTTATAAATCACTTGAATCTACTTCTGTGCATGTCACTTGCATCAGATGTGGTGTTATTAAATCTTTGGCTAACGTGTACTAAGGTGTTAATAATTTTATCTATATACTAGTGGTTAAACCAATGGCAAACCAATGGCTTTGCTAACATTGAGTACATTTTTTGCATCCAATCAATTACATATATATATATATATATATACATATACATATACACACTTTGGCAGTCAATCAGTGCCCCTAATTGTGATTGAAAAAACATAAAAAACAAAAAAGAGTGCCAAGTGAGCTAGATGTGGATTAGGTTCTTTTACACCACTGCTGCTGCTGCCACCAGCCCAGCTCGTCCCATCCTCTAATCCTAATAATTGGGTAACTTGGCAGTAACTAGGTTAAACCCATAACTGGGTTATACCAGCCTACTGCTCTAGCCAGGGGGATTTTTTTACAATCCAACCCTATATAGACTGGTTTTTATGTATATATATATATATATATATATATAATTTTTTCACATATATTTCACAAAAATGAGGGTCTGAGAATTATACTAAATTTTTATGACTAAAAGCTTTTGGTGCATTTATTTCAAGTGTGTGTATATATATATATATATATATATATATCAACATTAACTTTTGCACAAGGCAAGGTAATATTTATTAATCAACGATGTATAACTGGTATTTCAAATGTCCAAAATTCATTTTCAAAATCAAAAGAAACAGAAATGATACTATTTTTATTTATTTATTTATTTATTTATACTTACACCAAAAGATGTGTTACACACATGAACCAAAAGTTTGCATCACAGTCTTTTCAATATTTAGTTTTCACACCTCCAAATTAATTCATAGCAGATACCATTTTTCTCAAATCATCTTGTTCTTCTTTTCAAGAAGAATTGTTGGTTTATTTTTAATTTTGATTAGTATTATAATGTCCATGACTCTCCAATAGTACCCCATTCATGAGAACATTCCTTCATCATGTGGCCTGCTAACTCCACTGCTTCACGTAATAGTACTAAGTCCACTTCCATAGCAATTCAACAATTGCCAAATGCTATATTAGGGTCTCAACAGTAACTATATCCAGTAAAAAAAATAAATTAAATTAAATTTTAATGCTAATGATCTCATTGAGTGAGAATGCTCATTCTGTTTATTCTTGTGTACATCAACTTCGTATAAACAAAATTCTGAATGGGTAATATAAATTCTCATGCCATTTTATCATGCCACTCAATGTGTGTATCTCTCTGATTTTTATTTATTTATTTATTTGTAAATTTATTTGTAGATTTTTTAACCCCCTTTTGCATAGCTAAAGAGGCAAGTCCTCTCGATCTAAGAAAAGATTAAGCAATGGATTAACCTCATTCTTCCCATAAAAACGAACAATTATCCATTCCAAGTTTACATCTTACAGCAGTCTCATACTCTCAACTTATTCAACGATGGTAGCAACGGCAAATTAGAACAGCAAAGCACCCAACTCCAAATCAAAACCCTAAAATTAACAACACCTTGAAGCCTTCACTGGAACAACATCCTCTTCATCGTCGTCTTCCGGAGTAAAGTCGGTCTCATGTGCAGGTCATGCCCTAATTTCATCGACGCCGAAACCCCATCGTCACGACACTGCTCGACGACGACGACAACGACGACGACGACGGTTGTGTACAAATGGGATGCATCAGTGCAAAAAGAGAACAACACACCCCCTAAAAACAAACAAACAGTTCCTGTAGTGAGTGAGAATCTGTCCACTAGAATGCCAAACCCTACTGAGGATGAAGATGGTGCCAAAGATCGTAGCAAGGAGTTAGAATCCATGCGTGCTGGCGAGAAGAGGAGCAGTCGCCATATACCAATGGCCATATCGACGCAGACGCTGGATCCCGAGACTGTAGAACCGTTTCTGGAAAGTGCAACAGCAAGCGCCGATGCATGGTCCATTGTGACCCTGGTGAGACTATGTTGTGGAGCGAGGGGGAAGAAGACGATGAAGAAAGAATGCATGGACTAGTCATGGATATTGGCATACACGTGGTTTTATGGGGAAAAGTTTCAACACAAGCGCTTAAGATTGACAGTATATTTTTTGTTTTTTTATTTATTTTTATTTTGTCGATTTTGTATACAGTGTGCGGAGCCTTGGGAGAAAGGCCGGCACAGTCAGGCTCACGCCAAGAATGGAGCTCTCATCAATCGCCTGTGGGTTATGTACAGAGGATGGGAGGCTGCCGGATATGGCGTTCGTCCCCAATCCGCTTCCGCTTCTAGACGTGTATCGGAATAAGGGGGCCGATCATCTGGTGAACCTGTTTGAATCCAACGCGGCCTGAAATCTATTAAAAGCTCATTCATTACCCATCGTCACGCAGTGGGTAGGGCATAAACCTCTACCCAAATTCTAACGCATTGCTCTTGGGGTACAAGAAGAAGAAGAGAGACGCTGTTGACGACGCTGCGACGAGTTGTGGCAGTCGATGGGGATTCCCACAGTAAAGAGTACCGCCCGTGCGTCGCAGATGATCCTCCCCGTGAATTAGATCTCTCGAAAGAACCATTGCACACGCTCGAATGCCATTGCATTCCATGACATTTTGTATGAATTTCTTCAATAAGGAGCATGACCTGATTCCATGGCCATAGTAGAGCGCACAACCTGTACCAAGCTCTACAATAGGAATGGGAAAGTAGAAGAAGAAGCAGAAACAAGAAAAAAATAAAACCTCGAAGATTGCATCACAATTCTGGTGGCAATTCTGATCAAAGTGATGCACCGTCGGGCGGGAATGTGAGACTGGGGCTCAACACCGTGAAAGCTCAAGAGTAGGTGGACCTGGGAAGATCCGAGTCCGGGTAATCGAAGGGATCATCCAAAGCAGCAGCGCTGGGTGAGAACTGGCCACCGAATCCAAACATGCTTCCAAGGCCATATCCCGATACCAACCCGGGGCTGGAAAGACTGAACGGAGAAAGGAATTTAAGCGGCGAAGGACCACCAAACCTTGATAGCTCTGAGGAGAGGTTAGCGTTAGGGAGGTGGTTTGCGTTGTGAGGCTGCACCATCGTTGACATACTATTCATCTCGTCCCTCGCAGCATCCCCTCCGCTCCCTCCTCCCGTCATGCTCTGCCCCAAGTGCCGCAGTGCCGCACTCCCGGGGCTCTCCACAGGATTCAAAATGTTGGCCCAGATTTGATCGCGCGGGGTGAGCACAGGGAGAGGTGAGAAAGACAAGGGGGGAACTGGGAAGTTGGGTGGTCTGTGGTAGGCGGCCTGGTTTGGATTGGTGAAGGATGGCGGCATTGAGTTAAACCTTCCAATCCTTGGTCCAGGATTGAATTCACTTAGATTTTGATGTTGAGAAGACTGCTGATGTCCGGTAGGATACGAGAACACTGGTCGCAATGGCGGGGGTGCGAGGTTCTGAAGCCTCGGGTTCAGTGGTTTTGGAGTCAGTATTGTGCTGGGTTCTGGAGATGACGTCCCCGTCAGCTGCTGCACAAGAGAGCGGAACTCGGCGGGTTCTGTCTTGTACACTTGCGGTGCAGGCCGCGGCTGCGTCACAGCTCGACGCAAATTCTTATTTATCTTGGTCGATGATCGACTGACCGAGAGCGCTGAACCACTCTTCCCTCTTCCCCCTTCTGGATCCGATACATCCATCGGCGCAGCCATAGCTCCTGTGTACGTGATCAGCCTACTCGGCATGGGACTTCGTGTGCTAAACAAATGTCGAAAAATCACCCTCACTCTCTAAGCGATAGTATGTTTCTCACGGAAGTCCTTGGACTGCGCTTCTTCGTCTCGCCGAACCCCAAAATCGTAAATCCCACTGAGCTATCCCAAGGTCAACGCCGCATACAGGCTCGTAAACACCGCCGCACTAATGCGGCCTTTGCGAACGAAGGCGAATGACCAATTTCAGCTGAGAACTAGAGTTCGTCTCTCTGCAAACATGATTAAGACCCTAAAGAATGTGAATTCATGAAGCGAATGTCTAAGGATAATAAGTGGTAATCTCTTGTCTGAGGACCTGCTGATTTCCCTCTCAAAACAAGGAGGGATTGTATACGAACCAAATCTGTTGCACACGATTCCCGTGCACGCACAACAATACAAAGAGGAGAAAAAGCTGCGGCGAGGCCCGAAATTGACTAAGGAATTACAAATTGTTATCTTCCTAGTTTGAGGAACACGACACAAAATAAGTCGAGAAAGTTTATGAAGTAGAATGTGGTGAGGAAGAAACAACCTCGAGAGCTGGATTCCCCACGCTGCACTGGACTGAGGAGGGAGAAGATGGAGAATCACACCTAGCAACATACAGACAATTACCCAAGTCTTTTTATTTGCGCAATACTCAAAGAACACCAATCGCTTATAAAGTGAACTCTTGGGAGAAGACGCTGCAGCATCAGGACGCAATCTTTCAGGCTAAAGCACGCGCCTGTCATGTGGCAAGAGCAAATTCCATTGTCAACGACAGCCACGTTCCCATTCTCTCCTGCAGACGTTGATTCTTACACATGAAGCGCTCGAACGCTCAAGAGTTCGCCGGAGCAGCGACAGCACATGTCCTACAACTTCCTCCAGCGCAACAGCTGCTAAGAGCTTCAACGAATTATCCCTTACAACCCAAATTCCCACCCCTAGAGAAAAAAAGTCACCACGCGCGCAAGAGAGTAAAGGAGAGCGACCTGGATAGCGAGAGAGAGAGAGAGTGTGTGCCGTATTTACTCCACCCAAGGAATGAAGACGGAACCGACAGCTTCGAGCTCAAAACGACCTCAAAATCAAGCGCATCAGCCAAACGCTAACGCAGTCGTCGCATCTCAATCACAACCCGTTATGGGGGCGACTAAACCCCTTCAGTGCCGCGTGTCGGGAACACTTCTAGAGGTTCCGCGGGTATACGGCTCTGGCTAATCTACTTCCCCCGAATTCCTACCCCGTCCCTAGCCTAAGCAGCAGACCGCACACTGACACAGGCGCGCGCCTTAGCGGCGACCAACTCAGCGCAGCTCCCAGTTCCTACAGGAGGACTCCCAATTCCGATGGGAGCAGCGGCAGCAAGGAAGGCGCGTTGTGGCAGCAGCTCACTGCAGCTCGGAGGGTTCATCTCACGAAGAATGAAGCGCCAGGCGGGGACGACGACGATGATGATTGTTGCCCCTCCGATCCCGAATCGCCCCATTCCATCGTGGCTCGTTGTTAGTTCCGCTGAACCCAAATTCACGACGACGACGACGTCGCCCCTTTTGGCTTTGCTTGGACGCGCTCGCGGGCCCCCTCTCCCCCTTCACAGACGTGAATGAGCCCCGGAAGCATCCGGCCTTTGCCTCCCGGGCAGGATCTCGGGCAGGCACCACACGCTTCCACTCCAAGCTGCCCGTACCTCCTGTTCTGTATTCTGTATTCTAATCCTAGCTCGTACGCTTTGTCTCCGCGGTCATTGTGTACGCCCGATATCCGCTTGGACGAGGGTTCGATCACCTCTAACATCCGGATTAGGGTTTCCTCATTCCTTGAGATTTGCGTCTTGATTTATAAGATTATTATTAGCATCGGTGATATAACAGACTAATTAGAATGTGGGGCACTGAATGCTCTTGAATATGCGTATATTTGATGCTGCAAAGGGATATTTTGTGGAATTAATGAGGTGCTTTTGTTTTGTGTTTCTGCATTGGGTTGTAGAGAGAGTAATTGGTCTTCAATTTGCATTTCCTGGTTAATTTTGTCAAACTTTTGCGTTGTGGTTATGATAGGATCGGTTTATTTTACTAGAGTTTTTTGGTTTGGCAGGGATGAATTCATTTGGATGAAACAAGTGATACATGGTTTTACTTTTTTTTATTGATTTGCTTTTGGTGAATCTAGTCAACGAAACATTGAGAAGATTTTTGTAAATATAAAGTGATGATGTAATTAAATAAATAAAGGAAGAACTAGTTTTTAGTAAGCTGAGATTTTAAAAATATTACTACTGTGATATTAATGTGTGGTGAGTTTACAATCCTCCTAAATCATAGGGTTTGATTATTTTCTATTATATAAAACCATCCATCTATTGAAGAACCAAAGTTTCAATATATATATATATATATATATATATATATAAAAATTAAAAATATTCCTATCTTGACAAAACATGCAACTTTTCTCAAAGGAGAAAAACAAATAAAGAATTAGCAATTGGAACAAAAAAAAAAACTATCTGCAATTATTCCAATACATTTGTCTTAAATTTGTGACATATATATACACACACATATACTTATGTTGGTTTGATTGCTTAGTTTAATTAAATAAAAAAACTGAATGTAAAAACTATTTAAAAATCTGCCAAAACAAAGAGATGAGATGAATAATTATCTTTTAAGTTGAGCATCAACATTATTCTTGTAAAAATCAACAATATATATATATATATATATATATATATATATCTTTCTTCTTATTATCTTCATAAGTTAGCGAACAAACACATTTTATTAGATCTGCATAAAGACATAAGGATTAAATGGCTTATAATTAACAGTAGCTTATTTTTCATGAGCATCCCCTCCCCCACCAGGAAAAGGAAACAAAACAAAACAAAACAAATGACCCTCAAAAAACAATTCCTTTAAGGTAAAAAGGAAGTCAAAAGAGCTGGGCAAACTTGTTTTAAGCCCATCTATAGTGCCCTTTTATACAAAGCCCATTCTGACATCTATTCTTCAAGTGTATAAAGATCCACTTCTACATATGATTTGCACTCTCACTACTCCCATCCTTCCATTCAAAGATCCTTCATATCTAGACTTTTGGTTTACTTTCTTTATTAAAAAACAAAAAAAAAACAAAAACAAAAACAAAAACAAAAAAATGAAGATATAAAAAGGAATGAAAAGAAGTGGAAAGGGGTAAAGGATTTGAATTTTTTATGAATTATAAAAATTAAGCTAAATTACAAAATCTGGAACCCAACAAAGTCACTTTAATTTATAGTAGTAGCATGTGGATAAGGTGGTGAAGGAAATCCAATGGGATGGGTCCACGTCCGCACGGAGTTGGATATATCAAGTTGGATATACCCTCCCATGGTTGGAGTCTCTCTGTACATCCATTGTGGATGAATTTACTCCAAGCTTCATTCCACTACATTCATCTCCGATTTGCCATCCACATCAAGTCCTACTGTACATCCAAGCTGCTTTGTATGGGTCTCTTAAACGGTATTGTAGTGCAACACCAAAATAAAAAAGGAAATACATACACACGTACATATAAAAATGAAATACATTGATTTGAAGTGATATAAATCATAAAATATTATGAAATAAAAAATTAAAAAAAAAAAACTTTATATTGATTCATGACACCAATCATACTCTCATCAAGTAAACATAATATTGTTTAACTCTCTTAGAGGGTTTTATTCTAACGTAAAATGTTCACACAATTAAGTGTTCTTATTATGGTTATTATTTTGAAATTTCATTGCTCAATAGATATTGGTTTTTATAAAAATGTTAGTTGTTACATACTCATAACATGTATCAACAACTTTACCACCAATGACATTGGAATACTTTATGTTGAAATCAAATCATGAAGTTTTTGATATTGTATTATACACATTTTCTCCCCCCCCCCCACCTCATTGTATGCAATTTATGTATAATAAATAAATAAGTAATATTTTCAAGCAATTTTGCTACTGTAAAAATGATGTATCCATTACTGGTTATTAATGAAATGAATTACTTGATGCATCCTTATGAGTGCATCCATCTATTATTTATTGGATGGATGATCCAGAAGTATTTTTGAAAAAAAAGCTAATTGAATTTGCTGTTAGCAATCAATAAAAATATTTTTATAATCTGTATTTCATCAACTTTATGTAATTGTACGTTAAATTAATTGTAATTATTTTCAGATCATGAAACCAGAGTTTATGCGACACAAATTTGTTGATTTGTTTTAAAAATATTACACACAGAAATATGATTAATTTGTTAACAAATGAGATTTTTTTTTCAAGATATTATATATATATATATATATATATATATATATGTTGTAGGTGTTAGCATTCACTTTCAAATTGCTGAAAATAAATGGTAAACATTGATTATAACTCAAGTAATTGTATTAAAGTGATTTTAATTTTTAAGTGGCATCTTTATTAAATAAAATATTACATTTGATGATGAACATCTTTAATGTTATTTTTTTAGCTTGCATGAAAGACTTTTTGTGACATGGTATTTAAGTATCAAAACATCTTATTTATCTGTTATAGACAAGAAAAGTTGTGATAAAATCTCAGTGTAGTGTATCATGCTAATATTGTGTTTGCATGTTAAAGATACAGTTGGGAATCAATGTCAGTGTTTTCAGATTTTGATTAGTTTAAAACATGTGAGATCAATTTTTGACATTTATAATTATGTGATATATGTATTGAACCAAGCAAGTTTTGGCATTGGGCTTATGGCACTCCTTCAATCACCAACTATTTCAAACAACTGTATTCTTTTGTATTAATAAATCCAATCACAATTGTCATGCCACTGAAAAATTCAACACTATATAAAGGGAGGTCAACCAATGTAATAAGGTGGCAATTCCGTTAAGTTAAGTTATTTATTTATTAATTATATATGTGAAGAGTGTTGGATAAAGATAATAGAATGATTTACTATTATTATTACTATTTTAATAATAATAAATATGATTACTTCCTCCACACATGCAAAGAACACATCAAAACCTAGTGAAGTGGTAACTCTACCCACATACTCCCACTGCTCTAAACTGTGTAACACACAAAATACAATACATTGTATCCCTATACATTTGTATGTGTTGATATGCATATTTATTCTCGCTCTCTCTCTCACCATATATATATATATATTTATATTTATGAGGTACAAGGGATACCATGGGATTGTGCAACTTCAGTTTCTGTCATAATCTGTTATAATATTTGTGACTTCCACCCCATTATTCAAAGGTGGTTACAAGGAAAAAGTCCTATGCTTTGACCAGCCCAAGCCCAACAGAAAAAAGAAAGAAAGAAAAAAACATATAAAATCCATGGTGGTTGGTCAATATAACAAATTCATCCATCATTCGTTCGTTCGTTAGTTCGTTCACCCATCCATCCATCCATCCATCCATCCATCACTCTCATTAAGAAGAAGTGACAACCCCACCTCCCTTCCTGTTCTACCACTATTACTACTACCACTAATCCCAATCGCCTCCCCCCATATTCAAAACTACTCTTAGCTATTTGCACCCACAGTGGTCCTCCCACCTCCTTATAATTCAAACCCTAGCCAGGAAAACCCTAAAAAAACAAAAAACTTAGAACTCCACCCAAATGAACCCACTATATCAGTTAAAATGAGGCTCTTTCTTCTTCTATACATTCAACCCCAAATTTTCCTCTTTTGAGGTTCACATTCTTCCATAGATAAATGCATTTTCATTCACCCAAATGCATATATGATTATGAGAGACAACATACTCAAACACAAATCCCTTTCTTTCTGCGTCCCTACCCATTAGACTCCAAATTAAAAAGAAGGATGTGTAAACTTCAAGGGTTTCTCACATTTCTCCCACCTTCCAATGGTGGGCAAGGATTAGTGAGAACTAACCATTGGAGATATTATCATCACATGGGGGAAATGCTCACTTTTGCAAGAGTGTGAAATTGAGGCTCTAATCGAAATTCTGGTAACCCGTAAAATAAATGCACATGGTATTATGAATGCTAACATGGTAAATGGGCACCGATCCCGGTGGAGATTTCTTTAGCAAATGTCGTTTTTTCTTAATTTAGGGTTAATACGATGATCCAAAAAGGATAACCCCAAATTTTAGGGCAGGTAACAATAAGATTTGGAAAGGGGGGACGGGCAGGGTGGGCCAATGGCCCCCCTCCAATCTCCACACTCGTCCAATTTTGTTTTTTTTCCCATTTCCCTGCCCTCCTGCCCGATTCGTATGATACCGCCACAGCCCGCTGAGCCATCCCTAGAAATATTAATATTAAAAAAGTATTTAATTTGTCCAAAATGGGTGCCCGCTTAAGGAAACACATTTTCAAAAGGGCGCCCACGGTCAAAGAAGTCACAAGCTGATGCCACGTGGAGGAGAATAAGAGTTACCCACCGGAGGATAGTGTTTGACCGACTCAAATGTTTGACCGTGGAAGTGGGGCCCATTCCACGGTCACCCATATATTGTGGGGCACGCGCCTATCCAAAGGAGTTCCCCCCTTACTCTCTCTATGTTCCCGACACGTTCCCTTTGAGGAACCGGGTCGTTTGTGTTTTTTATGATTCCGTTCTCCTACTCTCTTCAATGGTCCAATGTGTCTGCAACGACGCCACCATTTGCTGTTGAGAACTATCCCTGATTCTTCCTGAACTGCGTTCCCAGTGATGAATGCGAACGCGGGAACGTCATTCATAGTGTGCGGGCGGCATGAGAGATGTAATGTCTCGGGCTCAGTGATGTGGCAGAAGTAAAGGATGAGCTGGTGGGGTCCAGTCAACATAACACGTGGCGAGAAACCATTGATTATACCCATCCAATTAGGCCCTACTCGGTGTTTGTCTGTTGGCTGACATGGCCCCACTTTGGATAGGAGTCCAACCGTAGACCCCTTGACCACTCTCTTGCATCCACTGCGTTCTCACTCCCCGGACTGCGTACTAAAAACCACGATCGTGTGACGTGGAATTCCACGTAGGCATTCACTTTGTGACGATGTGGCATCGGATTCCGGACCCCGGACACCAGTCCGCCAAACGGGTCGGTTATGGGGTTCAAAGCGCGGTGACATGTTTCGCAATGCAATAAAACATTCACAATTTTGGAGCCTCCTTCACATGCTCTCGATAATGATCGCGGCGACGAGTAGGTTGATTATGACTAATTGGATCTCCTCTGTGGGCAAATAGATGTGTGTAGTTGGCACAATTGAAATGTAGTTGGACTCATCAAGTGACGAAAGATTCCAACAAGTCAATCAATTTTATTTATTTCTTGTTGGGGCCAGCTCGGGATCAAAGCAAGATCTAAATTGACATTCGTATTGATGACCAGGTGGAAGGTGGGTGGGGTGGGTGGGTGGGTCAGGGTATGATTGTCGGGGTTATATGTGTGAGACATATTTCCATAACATTGTCCATGACTCGTCCCACTTCTTAGATATCTCTCTTCATGTGACTACGTGATTGAGTGAGCAAGTGGATCTCCATACAAAATTTTCTCTCGTGTCGGTACAATCTCGAAAAGGTCAGTTTAGTATTTTTTATTTTGGGAAAAACTGCAAGTTTTGGTGGATAAGAAGAAGAAGAATGGCGAGTTTTGATGAATATCGAGAACCGAGATCGAGCATCGCAATATCAGATTCCTTGGTTAACTGTAGTGGTTTTTTTTTTTAAAAATCAGAATCGTGCACATATCCGAAGGCTAATGTGATCATTCCTGAAATTAATCAATCAATCGATTATGGTGGTTAAGATCGTCTGCCGCTGTTGCATCGGAGGAGAATGGCATTGTGTGACACAGTGAATCAGTGGATGTTGTCTTGGTGAGTGCAAGTGGGGAGGGGGAAGTCGTGGTTTGGCATGATGGAGATGGTGGTAGGATCCGGATTGAAGAAACAGGAGAAGGTGTAGTGGCGGCGGATCGTTGAGGAGATGAGGCGCAGGGCAGCTGCGGGTGGTATCTGGAAGCAGAGACAGAGCGAAGTTCGATTCGGGGAATGAAATATCGCCTGGTCCGGCCACGACGAATTGCCTTTCGCAACGGCCGCCGCAGTCTCTAAACCACCAATTCTAATCTCGGCCCGAATCCCGCCTGCCATCTCAGCTGGTGGCGTGAGTGGTGGAATTCCCTGCTCGCGGCGGGCCCGTTGCGCGGGACCCATCAGGGGCCGCACTAGAGCCGCACTCGAAAGCGAGGATATTCGGTAGCGCCACTTTGTGGAGGAGACGGTCTAGGTAAAACCCACACCTGATAAGAAAACAGACGATACGCGATCAGGTCAAGAATAGCCGGAGTAGGGATGGACAGACCATCCATCCCGACCTGGAATGCCGTGCCCTGTTGCAAAAAGAGGCTGCAGGGTTGTCGACTTGCTTGTAGGTGAGAGAGCTCGGATGATTTCTCCCAGGTTTGAGTACTTTAAGCGCAGGTTGAAACCGGATCGGGTTGGGAGGAAACCTTGCCGGCAGCCGCAATCCACGATGCTTGGGTTCACATCGCGCGCTGCGTTGTCTCGAAGTTCGCTTTAGCGGGAAAAAGGTGGGGTCTGATCGACGGTGGCGCTGGGCCAGAAATCGCAGCCATTCCGATTCATCATCCGTCGATGCGTTAAGGCATTGGTGGGCAGCCGCAGGCACATTATTGTAGTTTGACCGCTGGAAATTTGAAAACAAAATCGTCAGGTTCCTCATGAGTTCGGATGCAGCCAAAGAATTAGCTGCACTGGTTCGCTAATTTTAAAATCTCGTTTCCTCCGAAGGTCATGTAATTGCAAAGATACGGCCACGGAATGTGAAGATGGATCAAACTTTTTCCTTGACTTGAAAATTACTTACCTTGCTCTGGCTATTCGGAGGATAAGTTCCGGAGTTCGTCTACAATTAGAACAGAAAAAATTCCTCACAGATAACTGGATTGCTTTCTTGTTTAAAATACTGGCCGAGACTGTGAACGGCTCCCGCACCTAGCCCTCATTCACATATACGTTCCTACACAAAAAAACATATAGTTTCTACACGTGTGTATGTTTTCAAACATATTTTTTTTTTTTTTTTTTTTTTTTGTGTTTTCCTTCTTTCGCGCGAAATATATAAGCATTTATACATGTATACAAGACTTTCATTTCACGGGGCTCCAGTCACCGGTGCAACACCCGAGCAAAACCATGAGAATTCAACCAACCTGTACTCTGCCGAAGTCCACGAAGCTACGGAACGAACACACAAATGCACTGGTTCCAATTTGCAGGGATACTGTCGGGAATGTTTTGGATGCAGCTTTAGGACCCCAATTGCATTCTCCTGCCACCTCGGGGGAACGCTTCGTCGAGGGTCAACTATGTGGAAAACGTGGATATTTCCTTTTTCGCCTAGCTTCTCTGGAATGCGATTGATAGCTTCTCTCAACAATCAATTGGGTAACTTCCTGCTCGAGAGACTGGTTCCAGAGCAACTTCAGGTGAGTTGCGCATCGCTTTCTTTGAGGATGAAAGGGAGTGACAACAAGCAAAATTGTTCCGACAACGCGTAACTGGACTCAGAAACGTTGAGCTGGGATACGTCAACTCACGACCTGGGCTGGTTGGGTATCTGCCACTCCAGGGGCAATGTTGGTGGCACGTCTCTCACGTCCAGTCAAGGCTTGAGCGAAAACCGACAATCTCGGAGAACGGTCTGAGCTGGAGCTTAGGTAGTGAGTTACTGGCCTCACAAAAGCATTAAAAAGGTTTATCTGGTGCCTTATTTTGACTGGACCATGTGTGGTCCAGTGTAGACGCGTTGAATTCACAGTGAATTTTCCTCACCACAAACCTCTAATCCCTACTAGAGGCCATGGTTGTTTTCCAGCCGAGTGATAATTGCGCAAGGTTGTGTCACAGCGGCACACAATGACGTCATGGGCAAGTTGACAAGGGAGGCCAAAGCGATGCTTACCATAAAAAAAGAAGGGGTAATGCCGGCTGAACATTCCTTCGGAATCATTTTGCTTCAAATGAGCTTCAAACCCACTGTTATCAGTCTAGTTGTTATCAGTCCAATTTGCGTGTTTACCGCTAGCGTTCTTCCGAGTCCGTACATTATTCGTCGGATTTTGCTCATGGCTTGCAGTCTTAGGCTCAAAAATGCATCTTTTCACAACTTCTATACATCTGAGAACATTAAAGAAAAACCTTTCAATCAAGGATGTTCTGCATGTGTTTGACACCTTCGACGGCCACACCAGAACCTTGTAAACGAAGGCTAGCATCCGCACCTGGTTAGGCCTAGTCTATCAGAGTCTGTTGACATTTTCAAACTATCCTGATCTCTCAGATTGGGCCAGGACACTGATAACTTTTTCGAGCAGCATGAGGTTTACAGAAACACTCTGGCCATGGATTGGTATAAAATGACTCTGGTTCAACGCGTGTGTGAGGACCAGCAACCAATGTAGTCCGCATGGCAGCCTTCACCCTTTCTTTGAATTCTCCTTGGTCAAGTGATCCCTCTTCCATTTTCATGAAAATAGGAGCCAATGCCCTCCTATCAGGTATAATAGACTTGTGAAACCCATTGTACAATCGATGTCCCAATAAATTGTTGGCAAAGTTGCTGGGTCCTTCAAAGGTGGGCATGAAAATATCAGATAGCAAACACACCATATAATCGACTGCAGGACCAAGCAGACCCTCTGTACTGATCCTGTTCAGTTCATCAGCAGTGGCCACTGTCTTGCGAGTTTTGAGACGAGGGAAGAATTTCCGCAGGGGATCCATGAACCGTTCACCGCCAAATATGTCTCCTGCAACAGAAAAAAGTACTAGTCTTCGTGAGATAAGCATCACTACTGAACTTCGCTAATAAAACATGTAAGAGTCCTATTTCCAGTTAAACTTGATTATCGCAATCATATTAAGACAAACAGACGTAGACATGTGTTAATACCCATCAGAGCAGCATCGGCACACTGTGCAGGGTTTTGACAATTGTTACCCGAGGTCTATTGGAACACATTGTCTCTAGGTAGTACGCTATAATGAAGGCTAAAAGAATGACCTTTGAAAAAAAATATGTACATATACATATACATATATACAAATATTGTTACACCTCGCAGTGCCCCCAAAGATACCTGCAGCAATATAAATGTGAGTAGAATTGTCATAGCCAAGAGCCCTTAAAATCAGCCCCACCTGCATCATACCCATGTGCTTCCAATGAATGATAATTAAACGTTAGCTGATAACAGTCCACAATCAAAGATACACAGGAATGCATGAAGTATTCATGACAAGAATACAGGGACATGTCATCTTAACATAAACAGACTTGAAAGTACCCACTTCTTCTGGAGTAAGAGGGCATTTCCCTATCAAACGTCTATCAGTATAGTGCAATGTTTTCTCCGCGAAATTTTCCATCCGATACTTCACGAGCATTGCTTGCTCCGCGACAGTAAAAATGTCTGTACACCTGGTCCACACAACCATCATTCTCAGTCATACATCACTTCAAGATTACGCAGGAGAAGCGAAGACTAAACAAACTTAACAAAACGCAGATGCAAAGGTGTAAACACAATTTTGAAGAAAGATGTGCAGATACATTTCCCAGGATACACCCACTGAAAAACATTTTCAATTGTCTGCAGTTCTCCACAGGACCTTTACACAACGCACTTCTACTGTGGTGCTACCATCATGAAAAGAGATTTTTTTTTCATGCCAATCATTGCAAATAAGCAAACAAGTTTACCCTGCAAATGCAAGCATATCCATTTCAAATCGGAGATGGATGGCAAGAAATTGGCCTTCTGCTCGTAGCCGTGCAACAATCTTGCTGCTAAGACTCATAACATCCTCCCGAAAGCGCAAAGCATGATAATTAACCCGGCAGCGAAGGCGCTGATAGTCGAGGTTATCTAACTCCTCAGCTAAGCGATGTGAAAATGGGCTAAGAAGGATAGCCCCATGCTCTTTCATCTTTGCAAGGGCCACCGTCTCGTACCAATTTGGAAGCGCATTCCGAGGAGGACGCAACTGTTGATGGAAATGATCAAGTTGTCAGCAAACGATAGCATTTTCACTTGCAGAAAATCAACTACCACAGCCGTTTCAAAAGTGAATGGCAATAAAAAACAGAAAATAAAGGATTCGTACACACAATATTGAAAGATCATGCTGTCCAGCATTACATAGCAAATATTCTGTTTTAAATGTGCGCGCTACCGCACCTGAAAGGGTTTGATTCTCCTGTGCTGCTTGTAAACAACACCCACAAGGGGTAGGGTCGTGACAACCTTTACGTCGTTGGCAAGTGAGGTGATGAAATGCCTCACGTCATATATTCCTGAAAAACCACTGAATAAGGACACGGTCCAATCACTGCCTGATACCGAGCGAAGGAAATAAGAGCGATGAGAACACTGGATCTATTCACTCGTGTCGATACATACCTATACTTCTAAAAGTAACATATATCAATCACGAGGTCAATCAAGTAATAAGTTGACTTAGATTGCAGCGAAACTTATAAAAGGGAAGAGAGGGACCCAATCACCACCAGTAGTTTACCTTTTGTCGTGCCAGAAGGAATTTGTATCTAGTGCCGGTAAAACAAGGGTGGCGTTCATGATTCGTGCTGCTAGCACGGCATTACAAATCTGCAACGTAAAAGAAGAAGATTAGCCTATAAGGTTGATTACCGTTTGGTATAGAAAAACAATCAGGCCAACCTATTGAGGTGAACCAACTGAAAGACGTACTGCACCCCGCTGCTGGTTGAGGCCACCATTACACCGCACAAGAAGATATCCGTTGGTTCTTTCTGGTGGTGCTGCAAGAGAACAAGTGAACTGTTGTCAAAATACATTGCGCAGAATTAGTCATAATTGCTCATCTAATAGCTTTTGTTGGGCAGTTGTAAAACGTTAAAATAAAAATAAAAATAAAAATAAAAATGAAAATTACAAAACTAAAAAACAGAAAATGTTATCGAGGGACAAATGGGATAACCATGATCAGAAGGAGTCAATAAGACGATGGGGGGCAGTCCAAACACTCACGTGACCATTCAGGATTTCGCGAGGCCGCTGACGATCGCCAGCCCAAGGACGGAGTGGAACTTCGCAGTCTGTCGGCAACAAGCTGCGCAAATCATACGAATGAATCACAATATGCACCGCATAGAAGCAGATACGAGCACACAGACATACCCACACACAAATATTAATTTTTTTTTAAAAATTTTGATTTTGCATCTTGGTGTCTTTTAAAAACCAAGTCAGATATAAACCATAGTTTCCGGCTAAATTAAGCTGCTCGAATTCCTACTGTTATACCAATCAAACAAAAGAAGTCACCTGCGTTGTCTCTTGATATGTTAAGTGGGTCAACGAATTATGTTCATTTCCATGACCAACCTCGAACGAAGAGCCTAAATTCTGCAGACAATGTGCAAAGCGACTCTCAGTATCTTGTTGAATATTTCAGACTTGCGTTCAAAAAGGCTCTTGATTGAACACACGATTCATCTGTAATAGTACAATCAACAGCAACTTGTTTTAATTGCCAAACATTAATAACTAAGGATTATTTTCAGAAGTACTACCATATTCTCGTTCTACGGATTATTTTGCAAAGCTGCACATCCTTGTGATTTGTTGTTTACTCATGGTTGTAACATACCATGAAAGTAAACTTCAGCTTTTCCTGTCTCATATGAGAGACCATAGATACCACGCATAGGAGGAACACCACACCCGGCCCCGTCTGTCGTCTTGTCAGACCTTTCATTTTGATGCTCCATGATTTCTCTTCGAAGTGCTCGTTCTCAGCGTTTCGAGCCTTTAATGGAGCAGTTCTGTTCATAGATATAGTCGCATATCAATCTCCTGCCTACTACGCATATTTATCGTCACACTTAGTTCCATCGCACAAAAAGTCCTCACGCAATGACAAACAGATAAGACCTTCCTGTAAAAATAAGCATAAATAGCTGCTTTGCTGAGCAGAGAAGTTCCAAAATAAGAGTTTGGAATCAATAACAGTCTTCCGAACCAGAACGCCCAATTAGGCTCGAAAAGAAAAGTAGAAGAAATTGGGTCTTTCGCTGATGAAGTTCCATGCGAGAAGGATTAGAAAGGAACTTCAATGGATGTTCGAAACTATCAAGAAAATTAAACTTTCCAAAAGTAAGTCGCTTAGATCCAGCATAAATTTAAAATTCAGACCTTCAATACCGTATTTAAATTCAGGGTATAACTCACAACAATCCCACCAGGTCTATCTATAACAAAAAAAAGAAGAAAGAAAGAAGTTGTAGAAAATAACGCTACAATTTGAACTTATACACTCAACAGCAAAGGCGACTGTCCGTTCTCCTCACAGAGCATCAACAATCACTGATCACTAGATGTTCGCCACAAGTCCATAAAAAGAAGCTCCATAGTTACTTCGTTTCTAGACAACATCAGCAAAAATTCGACGAAGCGTCTGGATGACATACTAACACCTGTCTGGGTCGCCCATGTCTACAGCAACACATCTTACATGTGCAACACTTTCAGATGACATTCTCTGTCCGCAAGAAAGCCTTTCAATCCACTCGATCAATCTTTTCAGCTACAACACTCAATCCTACAACGATCAAAAACGCAAACCCACTACTCAATCGTGGAAATCCACAGCGCCATCTGCAGAACCTACAGCTGACAAGTTTCCACCTCAATTCTCTAAGCACTCGTCCAAAATCTACCATACGCACTCAGCTAACTTCTCACGTCTGAAAGAGCAACCCAGCACACATCCGATAAAGTTCCTGCCACCCAATACAAACAACAACATACAGAAAGAAGCACGAGGCGAATTCCATCACCTCCTTATGCCGAGATAGCAAGAATGGCGAGAGTGCCAAGAAGTGGCGGTCCAAGCAACCAACTGGCACGGCCAATGCTCATCTCGAACCACCACCTCCGGCACCTCTATCTCCTTCGCAGACCGGGACTTTAGAGAGAACCCACCTCTGATCTTCCCCCGCGCTCCGTTCCTTGAGCATGACTTACGCTGACTGCCTGCAAATCCTACAAATTTCAGCTACACCTACAGTTCACACCTAGCTTTCCTGTACCCCACATTGCACTCGGCGACCTGCGATCTCTGGTACCTCTTTAACCCCAAGACTATGCGGCACTTCGATTTGTTGGAAATTTCTGAAAGATGCAGCATGCGCGCATTCCCACGCGAATTCGACGTCGGAGGAATTTCATGGATCGATCTTTCGGTGAGAACCGCGGACGATGGAGACTGCGAAGACTGATGGAGTCTGGAGAGCTCGGTGAGGCCCGGCGGTTATCAATCCGGATATTAGCAAGTAATTGGTGTTTTGACTAGAATGTTTGCAATTGTGGGGCATTAGAATGGGAGAATTTATGTGCATCAATGATCAAATAGTAAATAAAATAATTGTTGATGTTTTTATTTATTTAAAACAACTAGGATATATCCATTGCATTAACTATATTCAAGTGTATTGAGGATTAAACCTACATAAGCTGTGGTATTCAAGACTAAGGTAAGCTTAGAGATGTAGATATGTTATATATTTCCTTACCATCTACTTTAACTTGGGTTCTTTTTTTTAAAGAGTAGATGATTTAGCTATTGCTAAAAACTCTGTTGGTACAACAGATTTTCATCTCTATTCTAGTGTCTAGTAATTATTTTTTCCATCTATGTTTTGTCATGTCATTTCAATAAATAGCCCAAATTCAAAAGGAGGGATTTTAGATTTTTTATTTTTTAATTTTTTATTTATATAAATAATCTTGGTTGATGAACCAAATTATTAGTTTTACTTTGATATTCCTCAAAGTCTTTGATTTGAATATCATTTTATTTCTTTGAATTCAAATGGACCACAAGAGTGTTCATCTTTTAATTGTATGAATCCTACCAATGCATCTTACTTAGTGACTTTGTTAAAAATAATATTCTAATATTATTAAGAAAAAAAATATTAAATTCAAGAATTTATTTGATTTTATAAGATTTGATTAGGATTGAAAATTAAGAGGTTCTATGGCTAATTGGATGTTTTTGAATACCATGATAAAATAAAATTAAAAAAATAGTTTTAGTGGAAAAAACTAAGGTAATCAATAACTAAAAGAAAATTTGGTGCATGTGATCCATGTGAATTGTAGCACCTTAGAGGTAGTTTGGAAGATAATATTAAGATCTTGTGGCTTTTCTAAAGTGTCCTTTATATCACTTATAAGCCTTAGTAAGACTTGAATCCTCAAGTAATCAAGTTATCATTGAGTTAAATCCTTATTTTTTTAATGTTTTTAACTTTTATTTCCCATGTTAAAATTATTATTAATTTTAATTGATAATTAAATTAAATTAAATTAAAATTTTATGCCATTTTTAAGATAATGAAATGACATAAAAAATATTTATTTTTTACTTTTATTGTTATTTTATTTTCAAAGTGAATATTTAATAAATATATTGTATTTAATTTTAGAATACTGTCATGGCCATAATCATGTAAGCTAATAATTACATATAGAAATAGGTAGAAGTAAGTAAAAGTAGATAAAAATAAGTTAATTCTATAATATTTAATATAGAAGCTTCCTAGAAACTTCCTAGACGTTGCTTTGACTTCATAGGTGTCTTTAATTGACTTTTTGGATTAGAAACGTGGTCAACAAGTTGGCCATGTGCCACACATGTTGTTAGCTTGAAGATCAAGCTAACTATGTGGCCCACACGTAGAAAAACTTGCCTTGTAAGTCAAGGCATGTGTCCTACAAAGTCAACACATATTGGAGGTCCTATAGAACGTCGCCACGTAGCCCCTAGTTAGATAGTATATATAGAGACAAGAGTGAAGGCTTCTTCACTCTTGTCAACTCCTTTCTTGCTTCTAGTCTAGTTTCAAGGGTCTCTAGTTTTCTTGTCTTTTGGCAATAGCCATTCTAGTTTCTCTTTTCAATATACATACTTATTATTCATATTTTGATACTTTTCTTTGAGTGAAGGCTTACTTATCTGAACTGTTTTTTCATCGAGTTCTTGTCCTTGACAGATTGACAAGAGTGTACTTACAATATCAGAGCTTTGTTTTTCTTGAGTAAGAGTGGATTACCCCTTTCTCTTGACAAGGCATAAGCGTATTAGAAGTTTGTGGATTACCCACTTCTAAACTGATATTGTTCTTAGTATCTTCTTTGTTATTAAGTCTTTCTTTTCTTTTGTCTTGAGCAGTATCAAACAAATTTTTCTTCTTAGTGTCATTATGGCAGAGCTTGTTGAAATGAAGAGTGTAATGGCACAAATGCAAGAGCAAATGAGGGAGTTAATGCTTGCGATGCATCAACTCAATTCACCAACACAGGAAAGAACAAGAATAGCAGAAAGTGGGGATATAGAGATGATCGGAGCTGCTTCAACATCTACAACAAATCACGTTCCTTCTCCAATTGTACAACACCCTATAAGCACTAGAGAACCAAGAATTGCCTTACCCGAGAAATTTGATGGTACGAGATCAAAGTTTCGAGGGTTCATCAATCAAGTACAATTGGCAATTGAACTTCAACCGCAAAGCTATCCAACTCTAGGATCACAAGTCAGGTTTATTAGCACTCTACTTTCTGGTTCTACATTATCATGGTTTTCGTCTTTTCTTGAACAACGAAATCCAATATTGGACAATTTGGAAGCTTTTTTGGCAGAGTTTCGATCTATGTATGGTGAACACGATGCAACTCGTGTTGCAACAAATAAGATCCGAATTCTGCAACAAGAAAATCGCTCAGTAACAGTGTATGCTTCACAATTTCGACAACTTGCAATTGACATCAAGTGGGATGATGTTGCACTCATCAGTCAATTTCTTTATGGATTGCAATACGAAGTAAAGAAATTGATGCTCAACTTACCTGATCCTCAAACTTTGAGTCAAGCAATTGATTTTGCAGTAAAATGTGATAATCAACTTTTCGAATTTCGATCCGAGAATCATTCACGGGAACCTCAATGTTATTACTCAATGGCAACATCAACATCTTTGCCAAACGTACATTCGGAAGTAGAAGACATGCAAATTGACGCGGTATGTTTTAAACTCCTAACTGAGCAAGAAAAGATTCGTCGTCGTCAAGAAGGATTATGTTTATATTGCGGAGAACCTAAGCACACTGCTCAACATTGTCCAAAGAAACGACGCAACTATAAAATGAGGGGTACGACGGTCAGAGAAGACAACATGTCGGAAAACGGATTCGTCCAGCTACAATAGGGACCGTGCAGCTGGAACCTTGTACAATTCCTAATAAAGGTCCTATCCTCTCCTCAGAACCCTCTCCTTGTTTTATAATAGACTTATATTTAGGACCTAAGAATTACAAAGCCTCTGCTTTATTAGATTCGGGAGCCTCAGCATGTTTTTTAGATGAACAATTTGTTAAAAGTCGTAAAATACCCTTTGTACAGAAACCTAAACCAGTACATGTAGAAGTCATAGATGGTCGTCCCTTGTCTTCTGGAGATGTCACTCATGAAACTCATCCTATAAAAGTAACAATAGACGGTCATGATAGCTACATAGCTTTTAACATAATTAAATCCCCGTCCAATCCAGTTATTTTAGGTTTATCCTGGCTAGAAAAATATAACCCTCGAATAGATTGGAATTTGCATAAACTTGACTTTTCCCAGAGCGTTATTAATAGTTCTACCAACCAAGTAAAAAATTATAAGTCTAGTATAGTAAAACCCGTACTGATAGGTGCAAAAGCATTTATACACGCAGCAAAAGAAGGATCAATTTTTGCTATTTATGCTGCACCTATTTCTGAAAACGTAAAGACTTCAAGTGGCATTCCAAGTCAATATCAGGAGTATCAAGACGTTTTTGAGAAAAAGAATGCAGATATTCTTCCTGAGCATCGCCCATATGATTGTTCAATCGACCTCAAGGAAGGAACTCAGCCACCATTTGGACCAATTTACAGTTTATCGCAAGATGAGATGGCTGAACTCAAGACATATATTGACGAGAATTTAGCGAAGAATTTCATACGCCATTCAAAATCTCCAGCAAGAGCTCCAATTCTATTCGTAAAGAAAAAAGATGGATCTTTACGAATGTGTGTTGATTATCGAGGACTCAACAAGATCACAATCAAGAACAGGTATCCATTACCTTTGATATCAGGACTCCTTGACCAGTTGAATCAAGCTAAGATCTATACAAAAATAGATCTAAGAGGAGCATATAATCTAGTACGGATCAAAGAAGGAGATGAATGGAAGACTGCGTTTCGAACCAGGTATGGACATTTCGAATATAATGTCATGCCCTTTGGACTCACGAATGCACCAGCTGCTTTTCAACATCTCATGAATGATATATTTCGTGAATTCTTAGACAATTTTGTCGTCTGCTATTTAGACGATATCCTGATCTATTCTAAGAACGTCGAAGAACATGAAATACATGTTCGTCAAGTATTACAAAAACTTAGAGATGCAAGATTGTACGCCAAGATGGAAAAGTGTGTATTTCACACTACTCAAGTTGACTTTTTAGGATACATCATTTCAAATGATGGTCTCATGATGGATTCTAAGAAAGTCCAAACAATCATGGATTGGAAGATTCCAAGGACAGTAAGAGATGTCCAATGTTTCTTGGGATTTGCCAATTAATATCGGATCTTCATCAAAGATTTCTCACGAGTTGCAGCTCCACTTATGCGCTTGACTAGTAAAGATAAATTCCAATGGAATCAAGAAGCGGAAGCAGCATTTGAAGCCTTGAAGACATCGTTTGTCTCTACACCAGTCTTATATCGTGTTGACTTTTCCAAGGCATTTTTTATGGAAACAGATGCATCAGATTTTGCCTTGGGTGCAATTTTATCACAAATGGGAACAGATGACAAACTTCATCCGATAGCTTTTCATTCAAAAAAATTCTCAGCAGTCGAGATCAATTATGAGATCCACGATAAAGAACTTCTTGCGATCGTGGATTCCTTTCAAGAATGGCGTCATTATCTAGAAGGCGCTTCTAGTCCAGTCACTGTGTATACAGATCACAAGAACCTCGAGTATTCATGTCAGCACGTGTGTTGAATCATCGTCAAGCTCGTTGGAATATGTCTTTGTCAAGATTCGAGTT